AAACGAAACCGATTTCGAACGTACCGCGCGAGCTTTTTTTCTTCGGAAACACATGGGCAGCGCGTCACTTACAAAGTGCATTAGGCGACAGCAGTTAGGAAATTCTGACGCCTACTGGACCCAACGTTGGTAACCCCATTCGGCATTTCCGGATCGTGATAAGCTGTTAGGTTCACACATTTGACCAATTAGAGTTTCCCTTGATGATAGTCTGGCAATCGGCCATTCTGGTGGCCAATCGGATGCGTGTAAACTGTCCTTGCTGCAGCAGCGCCCAACTGTGAATAGTAATGAGGTATCGGTGCGGAATTCCACGTAACGTTTTCAGTCTCAGTTAATCAGCTATGAGGCATGTTCCAAAAGTGCATCGGTTCCAGTTACTACAGGTTAGGTCACAAGAAAATGGGAGAGAATGGCAGGCACAACCAAAAATTGGAGGTGATAAAGTGTACTGTTAACCGTTCATCCTACGTATTGTGTTGCTCTAATGGCACAGCTATGTATTAAAATCGATGGATCTGGTGCATGAACACCAATGGCCGCGTGATTTAATCACGTACGTCAGTTTCACTGATCACTGAACTGGCGTCATCCGTCAGTTTTTGAGTTCGAACATACTGCTTGTGGACATCATGCTTCGTTGTTCACCAATCCGTCTCTCTTCCGCTTAGCATGGACCCAAGCAAAAAGAAGTATTCGTGTTTGACGGTGGCTTGGAATGCAGAGTACATGTCCTACCCTGGGTGAACGATGAAGCGTGAGTAGCTCACTTGCCGCATCTGGGTTCTTTCTTAAAATCATCCGGCGCACCTCGTCATTACTAATCCGGTTTTCCTAACAGAACCGACCACATTCACACTGACAGCTTTCCTACATCCTCTGAGGGAAGAGGTCACACCTCTCATCCGGAAAGTAGCAATATATCGCACCGCTGCATTTACACTCTGCCATTGAAGGTAAACTGACGTCAGGCTGACGTCACAGGTGTTGTAGGTGTTGAAAAGCTGCCCTTGTCTTGCGGATTCGAGGAGTGTTCACGTCTCCAGCCAGTCAACTGGAACTCATACAGCTGTCCAAGCAGAGAAAGTCATCTGCCGCGTCGATTGGCTGGTCTGCAAGCATAATGTGTAGGTTCGATCCAACCCATTTTGGTATCAGCAATTGTAGGTGTGAAGCACATATCACACCATGCGGCAGAATTGTTAAAATAATTTAAAATAACTTGAACCTTCGAAGGGCCTGAACCAAGGGGAACGATATAGTCTGCGTTCTCAGTGTGTGAGCAAACACCTTGGGAGCATTTTGATCCTTGAGATTTCAGAAGCAGACAGAAGAGTTTCATTAGTGAGCTTGAAGAGTAATGGTGCAAGAGGATAGCCTTGTCTTCAGCACTGAACTTGGGCGAAAACCTGTTGTATACCTATATGCGCCCACAGGATTTGGCGTGCAATGGCCCCATAAATTGAGAAGGGGCGCCTGTGATCGTCAAACACCGCCAGTTTTCTGATGATCGACGAAGTCGAAAACAGCCTTCAGGCCAATAAGAACGACCGACATTGGACGTATGAAGGAATGACGCTACTCATGAACTTGTCTTACTGTAAACATATGGTCGACGCATCCTCGGTCGGGGTGAAATCCACCTTCTCTTGAGTTTGTCTCTCCTGATAATCGATCATCGCGCCCGAAATAATGCGATAATATACCTTAGATACCACAGTTACCAGGCTGATTCAACGATGATTTCCCCATGAATTTTGTGCCAGTTTGGAAGATCATGATCGAGGATTTCAAAAGAGAGTACTCACATCTATATTTCCCTCAGTAATGATCATTATAATTATAATTATGATGATTATTTGGGAGTTTTGATTGTCCTTATGCGGAATATTGGAACGCAGCTCGAATCGTTTGACATTACCAGTCGCGCAGAGAGATGTTAAGGCATAAGGAGGCTTAAGGGCGAGACGGTTCAAGTGGTTAGAGTGCGAATTTGCTGGCCGGAAGGTCGTTGGTTCGAACCCGACCTCTGCCTCTCGACTTCCCCTGCCCAGGCTTGGGCAACCAGGCAGTGTTCCAGCCCTCGTATCTGCTTCGTGTGGCATGGCAGCCAGGCACCGAAAGGGTGCTACAGCTGAACGATTTTTTGTAAACTGTGTGTCAACACAGGTGTTAGTACGCGTAACTATTATTGTGTTTATACAACAGCTGAAAATACCTACTCCCTTCAGTTTTTCCCACTGAAGCGGGTCTGTTTGATTTTCTCTACCCGTTCCCGTTACAGGTAACGGCATTCCGGCTGGTAGCTGTTTGTCACTTGTCCGACTAAGACTACGATCTATTCCAATCTGAATGTTCACCTCCACAGACGTTTATGATGCTGCCTCTTCAATTGGTCGTGATTGCCAGCTGATTGTTGGAGAATATGGCCCGGATATATTGCAAGATCTCATGCCTAATGTTATCGCGGTTTTAGAAGAGCTGGAAGCATGTGCACTTTATTCTGAACACGAGCAAGAGGAAGTGATTCGTTTGCAAGGTGTACTCGAGGCATTACGCCTGGATTGCCAACACCAAGCTGATTCAAAGGAAAGGTCAGATAGGGTGAGTCTGGGCTTTGTTAACTACAGTGTCCCGTAGGGCTTCTTAGCTCGTCGTCAGTTTTGGGTCCCAGGTTGAACCATGTCTTTTTTCATCCGCAGCAAGATCCATTTTTGTTTCAAAATATTGGTAGCTCAGATGCTCCTTTGTTGTATCATAATGGGCACTTCGAGCACACTACTAGAAGGCTATTAGGCCGGCAGACCAGTTGATTGGATGCGAATCGTTCCCTTTTATGTGTGCGTTTTTAATGTGTGTTGGTAACATGCACACTGATGATGCCTTCATGTTTGGTGATGAAACGTTTGCAAGCCGATTGCCAAGCTCGGCGAACAGATCAACAGCCACCTGATCAACAACCAGTGTGTGTGGTTGCGTACCAAAGGTCTCCTACAGAACATGACAAGCGTATCTCGTCACACATCTGCTGTCCGTCATTTTTCGCGTCATCTTGCTCTATCTTTCGTTCCTAGTCTCAAGTGGATTCGTCGTGATCAAAACTCAGACTTATTATTCGGGTACAAAGGTAGTTTCGTATGTGATGCAGATTGGTGAATACTTCAGTTGGATTGAACAAACAGGCGAAACTCCCGCTTGCTACATGTTTCGCCTATCGGGTCCTAATCCAGTGTGGCGTATGTTCAAAGTTCACCTAATCACCGTCCGTTCCCTTGAAGCTGGAGAGGCAGCTTATTTGATGCGAAGGGCTATCGCTCAGCTGATAAGGAGTGCATGGTTCGTCAGATTGTTGCATTGACCATCTCCTCGCACTTGGTAGATTTACTTTTTCATGCTTACAGACGTCAAACAAAGAGAACTTAGCGGCAAGGGGTACAATCTTAACAAAGAGTAAGGACAGGTAGTTTCTCGCTGACCGAATTAACGATAGATGTTGAAAAAGCGTTGGGATGCGATATCCACTGAAAGTTTGCTTTTTGAGCTATCCGAGACAGTGGAGCCTCATCCTAAATCCCAGGAGAAGCTTTTTACAGATAACCCATATAAAATTAGATGACAAGAAGAAATAACTTATCTGCCGGCCAAACGAGACATGGTGGATTTTACGCATGCGGTGCCTGATTTCAAATATGATTGCGTGTGGACGAGGAGGTATTCGCGAACACATCGTTCCACTAATGTTTATCATCAATTAAATCAGCTACCAAATCCAGTGCGCCGGTACCTATCCAACCTACCCATATCATCAGTGAGTAAACCTGTAGCAGCTATAACCACTGTACGACAAGTCCGCGGTTCTTACAGCTGCTGCTGCTGACGAATATTTTATGTAATTTTCAAAATTCCAATTGTACGGTCTAGGTCAATTGTACAACCTCTGACAACCTTTTTTACACACCCACTGGATGGATTTCGATTGATGTTACTCGGGCGAACGGGCATTAGCCAATGTCATACACAGAATGGCGGCATCCCCAAATAACCACATAAGTATTTGTTAGAATACAACCTTCATCGGATTCAGCTTCGGTGTGGGTGTTGCGAGAGTCGAGTAGTTCCAGGACGGGATTAGAAAGGAGACAGAATAGGAAGACGTAATGTACGCTTTAATCGTCTAATAACTGTAGTACATGAGCTGAAAATAGAGTGAGAATCA